TGTCCTATCCTCCTCCTCGTCGTCCTCCTCCTGCGCTCCTATCCTCCTCCTTCCTTCCTTCCCGTCCTCCTGTCCTCCTCGTCGTCGTCCTCCTCCTCCTCCTCCTCCTCCTCCTCGTCGTCGTCGTCCTCCTCCTCCTCCTCCTTGCGGACCCCTGAGAGCGAGCCCCGGTGGCCGCCGGTCATCGTGAGGCACCTCGCGGAGCGGCTCCGGGATCCCGCCGGCAGAACCCCAGGCTAGCATTAAGTCGGGCCTGTCCCTCTGCAGGAGGAATAGTCAAAAATAATAAAAAAATAGCCTGGGGACTTTTTTGGAGTATTTTTTGACCATTGGGGGGCATTTTTTGAGTATTTTTGATTCTTCTTCCAAAATCCCCCTGTAGGAGGACAGGCCCGACTTAAGGCTAACACAACACAGCCAGTGGGCTTCACGTCCTGGAAGCAGGCGGCAGCAGCACCAGGCAAGACCGAGAGAATGTGTCGACGACTCCCTTGGATGAATCGCGTGGTATCGTCGACTCACGAGCGAATGTTTACCACGGGCAACCTTCGATGGGCACGATCGAGCACGTCGTGCGGGTATGCTGTCACCTCGCGGCGTCGATTGGGTGCACCCTGCCAGAATCGAGCGGCCCGTGGGAATCACTTCCGAAATCGTGCCAGGAACTTCCAACAGCCGAGGACAGCATGAACGAGGATGCCGACACCCAACAGATGGACGGGGTCGTAAACCTTAAGAGTGAGCTGCACCAGAAAAGATGGGATCACCAAGTTGAATAATGTACCCATATTCTAATGCTCGGCGGCGAGCCCGGGGGGAAAGTGAGAAGGAGAAGGCCTTCTCAGAAGGCTCGGAAGTCCCCTGGACTTCTGAGAAGTTTGTTTTCCAAGCCTTCCCCGAGGACACCGAGAACTTCTCAGAGGCGCGAGGGCTTCTGAGAAGCCCCGCCGCCTTTGAGAAGGCCTTCTCCTTCTCGCTTCCCCCCCTCGCTCGCCACCGAAGGGCAGAGCCGCCGATGCGAATCCAGTCGAAACCCACCTCGTGGCATCACACTCGCAAGGCAGGGGCGGCCTGGAGGGTGCCGGCAGCCCTCGCGCCCCAGACGTCGGCGCGCGTTTTGCGTTCCACAGGCACGTCGGTCATCGAGAGTAGGCATTTCTGGATGCCCAGATTCCAGTCTGCTTCAGGCGCCTTCCTGCTTCAAAGGTCGAGTGGCTTTCCTTGGTTCCTTCGTCTTCACGGGGCGGGTGGAAGTCCAGTCTGCTTCCAACGCCTTCCCACCTCGTGTTTCTACCCGCTTCTTCCGACCAGCGTGCATCTGTGTCATCACCACGCATGCGCGCACACGTACAGTACATCGCAGAACACTTCGAGATGGCGCGCTCATCTTTCACCGACTTCGGGAGGAGCGCCACACGTGTGCAACAAAAACATTGCTCTGGCAAGGTCATCAGCTTCTCGCACTGACTGACCATAGCAGCAAGTGCAGACATTGTCTGGCCAGGAAGTCCAATAAATGCATGTGGAGACGACCGATCGGCCCCAACCGCCGTGGAAGCCGAGAAACGCATAGCAGCCTGCACCACATCGTTTGGGGCCGCAGCTCATGCATCGTGTCATCCAGGGTCTCCAGATGCCCATGGGAAGGGTCCACATCTTTCCCAGAAGCTCTTCCGATATTCCATCATGGCCTCGTGGGTCTGTCGGACGCCATCAGGGGCTACAAGATATTCCGCACGAATTTTATCTTCAGACTTAGGCCAAGCATGAGAGTGCATCACGAGGCCACTTCTTAACTCCCTCGCTTTTTGGTGGCGCAAGCCCTAGAAAGAGCAGCCGTTCACAAGTCTGCGGTGCGATTCAGGAGTCGCTGCACTTTTTTTCGTCAGCGGCGAGGCAGAGAAACCTGCTCCAGCGGGTGGCGATTCGGGGCCACCGAAAGGCGAATGGGCCAGCGTGCAAGAGGGGGGGAAAGGACTGGGGCGGCCGCGCGGGGGACCGGAGGAAGAGGAGAGCCACTCAGACGTGGAAGACTTCCGCGTCGGTTTTTTTTTCTACAGCTCGGCCAGGGTAATGCAATGACGTGAGCTCCCAGTGCGCTCCCTTGAGCACGACTGCCGCTGACGACGAAAGGAATGGCCGGTAGAGCATCTACACTGTCCCTGCAATGCGGAAAAATAAGTTTGCCAGCGTGGACACCAACTGTGCCATGAGTCGCCACACAGGGTCAGGCGACGTCGGCAGAGAAGAGAGGTCATCATGCCAGCGCTTAGCACACTCGGGAGACACCAGCGGCTCCAGCGGGGCATGTTCAAGCTGCACGTCACGTTGCACTGCACGCCAAAACTCGTACAGCCTAGAGTGCACAATCGACCAGCAACACGGGTAGAACACGTTGACGACCTGCTTGTTTGGGCCGCGCCTCCGAATTCATCCAGAAAGCTTCTGCACAGTGCTACCACGTCCCAAGACAGAGTCAATATCCTTCAGAAGAGCACCCCATAGAACCATACATCGTGTCAGAAGCCTTAGATTACAACGCGTAATCCTCGGACAGCGGCATGTTGGCGTGAGTCAAAGTCTGCTCCAGAGTGGCCTCCTGCAAATCAGGAGGAATGTGATGCTGATAACCGTGCTTGCAAGCAAGATCGAGATAGTGAGGCCAAGGATGATCTGCCCTTGTGGACGACGATCAATGGAGAGGAAGCATGTTGCCAATTAATTCCCAGATGCTTAGACCTTTTAAATCTGTTAAAAACACAAATCAGGAACAACAGCTCTTGGACCTCCGCACGGATTTCTCAATCGGCACTGGAATCCCCTCCATGGCGCGCGGAGAGGGCCAGAGGCGGCGCCAGGGGGAGGGGGATCCGAGAAATCCACGCGAAGCTCCGAAAACTTGTGGTCACGACGCCGCTTGTTCGAAGGGATCAGGAGGAGCACCTGGGCGAAGCCTTCTTGGGGCAGAAGGTGAGAAAGATAGGGAGGAGGGAATAGGACAGGGCAGAAACATCCATGGACGTCCTGGGGTCTCAGGGTTGGATTTCTTGTGGAAGGTTTCTTGTGGACGGGCCTCCACTGTAGTGCATCCGACATTGCATGTGAACTCAACGTTATTCGGGACGGCAGCCCTCGCGTGGGTCAGGTCCAGCAGCCCGCACTCGTCCAAGAGACCCTGGTGTATGTTAGAGTCCCCGTGGCCATTTTGGCTCAAGCCGCTCTGCGTCAAGGGGATTTCGCAGGCAGGTGTTTTCCAGTGATATCAACATTATGTTCCAACACGGGCCACCTGCCTACAAAACCTCTTCGCATGCTAGACATAGGGCGAGACTTACGGCAACGTGGCTCTTCCCACGAAGTAACCAAAGCGAGTTGCATGAGGACAGGGCAGTGGTGCGCAGCGCTGCAACTCTTGCGCAAAGCGCTCAAGCTGCGCTCGGCTATCAGCACGCGTGACTACCTTGCAACCGTTGGGTCGTGCAGAAAGGCCAGCCAGTGGCAGCGGGCTCTGGCGTTATTGGGCGAGATGTGGGAGGCGAAGTCGAAGCCCAGCGTGATCAGCTACAGCGCTGGGATCAGCGTGTACGAGACCAGCGGGCAGTGGCAGCAAGCTTTGGCGCTGCTCATCGAGATGCGGGAGGTGAAGCTGGAGCCCGACGTCATCTGTACTACAATGCTGGGCGAAGCGCGTGCGAAAATGGCCAAACGTGCGTGGCCCCCCACCGCGCTCACGGCCCCCGGCCGCGCCTCTGGCGGTCCGGGGCTGCTCCTGAGCGCTCCGATGAGCCCCAAGACGGCCCAAGAAAGCTCCAACACGGCCCAAGCGCAACCTCGGGCGGCCCGAGCTTGCATTCCTGGCGGCCCCAGCAGCGCCCAGGTCGCTCGCGAAGGCTCCCAGCGGGCTCCCAGACAGGCCTCGACAGGAGTAAATCGATGATTTCCTTTGTTTTTTTCGATGATTTTCGTGCTCTCCCTTTTCTTGCTTCCGGCACGCCCGAGACGTCCCAGGAAGCCCCCGATCGCTCTCCAAGACGGTCCAGGAGGCCCTGCCGAGAGCCCCGAGACGGCCCAAGAGGGCCTCAAGATTGCCCCAGAGAGGTCCACGATACCTTCATAGAGCCTCTAGTGGCCCCCAAGACAGCCCCTAAGAGGGCCCCATGAGCTGCCGAACACGCCCCAAAGCAAGCTCTCAGACGGCGTCGAGACCTCGACCATGGCCCCAGGACGGCCCGCGGGGCCCCCGAGACGGCCCAAGAGAGCCCCAAAATGGCCCAAGTCGGCCCCACGAGGCTCCAGATAGACCCCCAGGAGGACTCCAAGAGGGGCCGCAGGGAGTCCGCGGCGCCCCAGAGACGGCCCAAGAGAGCCCCTAAGTGGCCCAAGACGGTTCCACGAGATTCCAGAGAGACCCCCAGGAGAGCTCCAAGAGGGGCCGCAGGGAGTCTATACCGCGGCCCACTCCGAGAGGCCCCAGGGCCTCCCAAGAAATTCCGCTGGTTTCCACAGAGCTCCCAAGAGAGCCTCCAGCCCCGGCGCTTCTCCCCGTGTGTGGCTCCCCGGAAGCCTCCAAAGAAGCCCCTGAGCCCCAACCAAGGCCCGACAACGGTGTGGCTCCCCGATTGCCTCCAAGAACACGATCCCTAGGCACTCCCAAAGCACGCCCGCCCACCCCAGGACGCCCCCGAGCGCGCCCCAAGGCGGTCCAAGAAGACTCTTGAGCAATCCCCAGACAGCCCAACGATGCCCTCACACACCCCACATATGCGGTACGACCCCCAGTACAGCCCCAGAGACTCCCAGCACGGCCCCCGACGCGCGCAAGACGGCCCCAGCGCTGCCCAAGGCGGCCGACTGGGAGTGACAGGGGGGACCTTCCTCGTAGAGCCCTCGATGGCCCCCAAGACAGTCCCGAAGCAAACCCGCAGGCGTCGGCGACACATGCGCGTTCGGGACCGACACCTTCGCCTGCTGGCCGTGGATTTTCCACGGGTTCACACTAGTCATCTACAATGCCGAGATCAGCGCGTGCGCGAAGGGCGAGCAGTGGCAGCGAGCTCTGGCGCTGCTCAGCGAGATGTGGAAGACCCAGCTGAATCCCGACGTCATCAGCTACAGCGCTGGGCTCAGCGCGTGCACGAAGGGCGAGCAGTGGCGGCGAGCTTTGGCGCTGCTGGGCGAGATGCGGGAAGCGAAATTGGAACCCACTGCCATCATCTACAACGCTGGGATCAGCGCGTTCGGGAAAGGCAAGCAGTGGCAGCGGGCTCTGGCGCTGCTCAACGAGATGCGGGCGGCGAAACTGGAGCCTGATGTCATTAGCTACAACGCTGGGGCCAGCGCTTGTGAGCAGGGCGAACAGTGGCTAAATATTTTGGCACTATTTATACAGATGCGGGAAGCGAAGTTGGAGCCCGACACTATCAGCTACAGCGTTGGCCTCAGCGCGTGCGCGAAGGGCGAGCAGTGGCAGCGAGCTCTGACGCTGCTCAGCGAGATGTGGGAGACGAAGCTGAGTCCTAACGTCATGAGCTACAACGCTGGACTCAGCGCATGCGCGAAGGGCGAGCAGTGGCAGTCAGCTTTGGCGCTGCTCAGGGAGATGCAGGGGGCGAGGCTGGAGCCCGACGTCGTCTCCCACAATATTGTGATCAGCGCGTGCGAGAAGGGCGAAAAGTGGCAGCGGGCTTTAGCGCTGCTCAGGGAGATGCGGGAGACGAAGCTTGAGCCCAGCGTCATCTCTCCTACAATTGCTGCCCCAGCGCTCGCGGAGGGGCCGATCGGTGGCAGCGGACCGGCCCGCTCCGGCGGCCCCTGCGAGCCCCAGCAGGCCTTGACGCGCTTCCAAGATGGCCCAAGGGCGTTCCGAGACGCACCAGGAGGCCCCCAAGAGGGCCCCCAGACGGCCGAAGACGGTCCAAGAGGATCTCCGAGACGCGCCCAAAGCGCTTGACAACTCCTCGGACAGCCTCCAGACGGCCCAAGAGGCTTCCAAAACGCTCCAAGTGGGAGGCCCCCAAGAGTGCCCCAAGACGGCCGAAGACGGTCCAAGAGGGTCTCCGAGACGCGCCCAGAGCGCTCGAGAATGCCTCAGACAGCCTCCAGACGGCCCAAGAGGCCCCCAAAACGCTCCAAGTGGGCTCCAAGAAGAGCCCCAAGAGAGCCTGAACACAGAAACATCGTCCCATTCCTTGCGAGCAACGTACATTTTGGCAGTTCCTGGGCTTGCCCTCTTCTTAGCGCCCAGGACGGCCATACAGGGTCCCAAGATGCCCCCAGGACGGCTCCTGAGGCGCCCCTGGCGGCCCACAAGGTACCCAATACAGCCTCAAGAGCAGCCCAGGACGGCCCCAAGACGGTCCCCAGACGGTCCCAAGACTCCAGAGACGCCCAAGACGGCCCTATACAACCTCCAGACGGCGTCAACACGGCCCAAGCGGCACCTGAGACAGCCCAAGAGGGCCCCAGGAGGTTTCCAGGAGGCCGAAAAGAATGGCTGAGAGGCTCCTAAACGATCCCCAGAGGCCCCAAGATGACTGCCCAAGAGGCACCGAAGACAGCCCCAACAGCAGCCAAAGACGGCCTAAGACGGCCCGAAGATGGTCCCAAAACGGCTCCAAGCGTACCACGGGGCTCCTCGGCCATCCTGGCGCCATGTTTTGCGCTCCCTGCCGGATTTGGCCCCAAATCCCTCACTCTTTTTGTCGGTCTGGAGCCCTCTCCGCGGCCTCTTGGGGCCACGCCGTGTTTCGCTCTTGCAGTCCTCTCGGGGGCCTCTTGAGCCAGCATGGGGCCATTTGGAGGCGTCTGACGCGATCTTGGGGCCGTCTGGGGACGTTTGGGAAACGCTCCAAGTGGGCTCCAAGAAGAGCCCCAAGAGAGCCTGAACACAGAAAAATCGTCCCATTCCCTGCGGGAAACGTACATTTTGGCAGTTCCTGGGCTTGCCCTCTTCATAGCGCCCAGGACGGCCATACAGGGTCCCAAGATGCTCCCAGGACGGCTCCTGAGGCGCCCCTGGCGGCCCACAAGGTACCTCAAGAGCGGCCCAGGACGGCCCCCAGACGGCCCCAAGACGGTCCCCAGACTGTTCCAAAGACGCCCAAGACGGCCCCAGACAACCCCCAGACGGCCCCAGACAGCCTCAACACGGCCCAAGCGGCACCTGAGACAGCCCAAGAGGGCCCCAGGAGGTTTCCAGGAGGCCGAAAAGAATGGCTGAGAGGCTCCTAAACGATCCCCAGAGGCCCCAAGATGACTGCCCAAGAAGCACCGAAGACAGCCCCAACAGCAGCCAAAGACGGCCTAAGACGGCCCGAAGATGGTCCCAAAATGGCTCCAAGTGTACCGTGGGGCTCCTCGGCCCTCCTGGCGCCATGTTTTGCGCTCCCTGCCGGATTTGACGCAAAATCCCTCGCTCTTTTTGTCGGTCTGGAGCCCTCTCCGCGGCCTCTTGGGGCCACGCCGTGTTTCGCTCTTGCAGTCCTCTCGGGGGCCTCTTGAGCCAGCATGGGGCCATTTTGGAGGCGTCTGACGCGATCTTGGGCCGTCTGGGGCCGTTTGGGGTCTTCGTCCCAAGTGATGTGTGGGGCCATTTGGGAGGCGTCTGACAAGATCTTTGGCGATCTTCGGCCGTTTTGGTAAATTATGTGACGATGATGATGGTGATGATGATGCTGCTGCTGCTGATGATGATGAATATCACAAAGACGATGCTGCATATGCTGATGATGCTGATGATGCTGATGCTGATGCTGATGCTAATGATGATGCTGATGATGTTGCTGTTGATGATGATGGTGATGATGATGACGATGGTGGTGATGATGCTGATGAGATGATGATGGTGATGATTCTGCTAATGGTGATGATGATGCTGATGCTGCTGATGATGATATTGCTGATGCTGCTGACGATGATGACGATGACGATGACGAAGACGATGGTGGTGATGACGAAGACGATGACGATGCTGGATGATGATGAGACGGTGGTGGTGGTGATGATGATGATGATGATGGTGGTGGTGGTGGTGCTGCTGCTGATGCTGATGAGTCTGATAATCATGATGGTGGTGATGATGATGATGCTGATTCTGATTCTGCTGCTGCTGCTGATGATGCTGATGCTGATGCTGCTGCTGCTGATGATGATGATGATGATGATGCTGATGATGATGATGATGATGATGATGATGATGATGACGACGACGATGATGATGATGATGATGATGATGATGATGATGATGATGATGATGATGATGATGATGATGATGATGATGATGATGATGATGATGATGATGATGATGATGATGATGATGATGATGATGATGATGATGATGATGATGATGATGAGAGGGAGGATGAGGATGAAGTTTCCCAAGAGTGAACGGTGCCACGAGCCATCTCGACCCAGTTCCTGACTCCGTGCCCAGGCTCCGCATGGGGCTCGTCGGCCTCCCTGACGCTTGCTTGGCGCGCCGAATTTGGACCAAACTCCCTCTTACGTTTGGTCGGGCACGAGCCCTCTCCGGGGCCTCCTGGGGCCCTGACGTGTTTCGCTCTTGCAGCCCTCCTGGGGGCCTCTTGGGCCATTCTGGGGCCATCTTCGACCCGTCTTGGCTGATCTTAGAGCAACCTTGGGGCCGTCTCGGGCCGTATTGGGCCGACGCTCCAAATGATGTGACGACGATGATGATGATGCTGCTGATGATGATGGTGGTGGTAGTGATGATGATGATATGATGATACTGATGATAATGCTGATGGCGATGATGATGCTGCTGCTGATGATGCTGATACTGATGCTGATAATGATGGTGGTGATGCTGACGATGACTCTGATGATACTGATGATGCTGATGATGATGGTGGTGATGATGCTGCTGCTGCTGATGATGCTGATGTTGATGATGGTGATGATGCTGATTATGATGATGATGATGACGATGCTGATGCGAGCAGTGCTACCTGGCGCCCCCGCAACTCAGCGACATGTGGCAGGCGAGCATGACGCCAAAAATCCTGATTGCCTTGCGGCAGCACCCCTTCACCCCGCAAGTGGACGTAGTCCACGGGTCAGCCCTAGTCAGCTACAGCGCTGGGCTTAGCGCGTGCGCGAAGGGCGAGCAGTGGCAGCGGGCTTTGGCGCTGCTCAGCGAGATGTGGGAGACAGAGCTGAATCCCGACGTCATCAGCTACAACGCTGGGCTCCGCGCGTGCGCGACGGACGAGCAGTGGCAGCAGGCTTTGGCGCTGCTCAGGGAGATGCGGGAGACGAAGCTTGAGCCTAGCACCATCAGCTATAACGCTGGGCTCAGCGCATGCGCGAAGGGCGAGCAGTGGCAGCGGACTGTGGCGCTGCTCAGGGAGATGTGGGAGACGAAGCTTGAGCCCAGCGTCATCAGCTGCAGCGCTGGGCTCAGCGCCTTCTCGACGGGCGAGGAGTGGCAGCGAGCTTTGGCGCTGTTCAGCGAGATGCGGGAGGTGAAGCTGGAGCCCGACGTCATCTGTACTACAACGCTGGGCGAAGCGCGTGCGAAAGTGACCGAACGTGCGTGGCCCCCCACTGCGCTCACGGCCCCCGGCCGCGCCTCTGGCGGTCCGGGGCTGCTCCTGAGCGCTCCGATGAGCCCCAAGACGGCCCAAGAAAGCTCCAACACGGCCCAAGCGCAACCTCGGGCGGCCCGAGCTTGCATTCAGGGCGGCCCCAGCAGCGCCCAGATCGCTCGCGAAGGCTCCCAGCGGGCTCCCGGACAGGCCTCGACGGGAGCAAATCGACGATTTCCTGTGTGTTTTTTTCGATGATTTCCGTTTTCTCTCTTTTCCTGTTTCCCGAACGCCCGAGACGTCCCAGGAAGCCCCCGATCGCTCCCCAAGACGATTCAGGAGGTCCCGCCAAGAGCCCCGAGACAGCCCAAGAGGGCTTCAAGATTGCCCCAGAGTGGCTCACGATACCCTCGTAGAGCCTCCGGTGCCCCCAAGACAGCCCCAAGAGGGCCCCAGGAGCTGCCGAACAGGCCCCAAAGCTAGCTCTCAGACGGCGTCGAGACCCCGACCATGGCCCCAGGACGGCCCGCGGGGCCCCCGAGACGGCCCAAGAGAGCCCCAAAATGGCCCAAGTCGGCCCCACGAGGCTCCAGATAGACCCCCAGGAGGACTCCAAGAGGGGCCGCAGGGAGTCCGCGGCGCCCCCGAGACGGCCCGAGGGAGCCCCTAAATGACCCAAGACGGCCCCACGAGGCTCCAGAGAGACGCCCAGGAGAGCTCCAAGAGGGGCCGCAGGGAGTCCATACCACGGCCTTCCCGCAGCCCTTAATGGGCCACGAATTCTTTAAGGACCACTTTGAGATACCCCAGAGTCCTTTAAGAGACTCCGATAGTTGCCCAGGAGCTCCCCAGGAGAGCGCCTCCATCCACGGCGCCCTTTCGCCGTCTCTCCATCCCCAGACGCCCCCAAGAAAGGTCCAGACCCCAAAGCACGCCCCAGACCACTCCGAGATGCCACAGGGCCTCCCAAGAAACTCGCTGGTTCCCACAGGGCTCCCAAGAGAGCCTCCAGCCCTGGCACCTCTCCCCGTGTGTGGCTCCCTGGAAGCCTCCAAAGAAGACCCTGACCCCCAACCAAGGCCCGACAACGGTGTGGCTCCCCGATTGCCTCCAAGAACGACGGCTCAACAAGATCCCTATGCACTCCCACAATACGCCCGCCCATCCCATGACGCCCCGGAGCGCGCCCCAAGGCGGTCCAAGAAGGCCCCTGAGCAATCCCAAGACAGCCCAACGAAGCCCTCACACACCCCACATGCACGATACGACCCCCAGTACAGCCCCAGAGGCTCCCAGCACGGCCCCCGACGCGCGCAAGACGGCCCCAGCGCTGCCCAGGGCGGCCGACTGGGGCTGACAGGGGGGACCTTCCTCGTAGAGCCCTCGATGGCCCCCAAGACAGTCCCAAAGCAAGCCCGCAGGCGTCGGCGACACATGCGCGTTCGGGACCGACACCTTCACCTGCCAGCCGTGGATTTTCCACGTGTTCACACTAGTCTCCTACAATATTGTGATCAGCGCGTGCGAGAAGGGCGAACTGTGGCAGCGAGCTTTGGCGCTGCTCAGCGAGATGTTGGAGGCGAAGCTGAGGCCCGACGTCATCAGCTGCAACGCTGGGATGAGCGCTTGCGAGAAGAGTAAGCAGTGGCAGCAGGCTTTGGCGCTGCTCATCGAGGCGCGGGAGGCGAAATTGGAGCCCGACGTCACCAGCTACAACGCTGGGATGAGCGCTTGCGAGAAGAGTAAGCAGTGGCAGCAGGCTTTGGCGCTGCTCATCGAGGTGCGGCAGGCGAAGCTGGAGCCCGACGTCATTAGCTACAGCGCTGGGGTCAGCGCGTGCACGAGGGGCGAACAGTGGCAGCCAGCTCTGGCGCTGCTCAGGGAGATGCTGGAAGCGAAGCTGAGGCCCGACGTCATCAGCTACAACGCTGGGCTCAATGCGTGCGCGAAGGGCGAGCGGTGGCAGTCAGCTTTGGCGCTGCTTGACGAGATGTTGGATATGAAGTTGAATCCCAACATCGAAAGCTACAACGCTGGGATGAACGCGTGCAAGGAAAGCAAGCACTGGCAGCTGGCTTTGACGCTGCTCAGCGAGGTGCGGGAGGCGAAGCTGGAGCCGGACGTCATCAGCTACAGCATTGGGCTCAGCGCATGCGAGAAGTGCGAGCAGTGGCAGCGGGCTTTGTCGCTACTCAGGGAGATGAGGGAGGTTATATTGGAGCCCGAGATCATCAGCTACAACGCTGGGCTCAGCACGTGCGGGAAGAGCGGGCGTTGGCAGTGGGCTTTGGCACTGCTCAGAGAGATGCGGGAGGTGAGATTGGAGCCCGAGATCATCCATACTACACTGCCGGGGGCCGTGCGTGCCAGAATGCCGCAGGATCAATGAAGTCGAAGCCGCCCCAGGCTGGCCCCGGGCCGCCAAGGGACGCCCAGGGAGGCTCCAAGACACGCCAAGAGGGCCCCAAGAGGCCCAAATCGGCCCGAGAGGTCTCCAAGGTGCTCTATGAGACCTCCCCAGAGGCTTCCCCAGCGGGCCCCGAGCAAGAACAAACATAGATGTTCCTTGCTTTTTGCATGGTTTTTGCCGTTCTCGCCTGGCTTCCAGTCGATCCACGACCGCCCAAGACGTCCCCAAGACGGCTCCCACACGGCCGAAAAGGCCCCCAAGAGAGCCCCAAGACGGGCCCAAGAACCCCCAAGTCGGCCCAACAGGCCCCTAGGTGGGCCCCAGACGCTCGAGATTGGCCCAAGATTGGCCCAAGCCGGCCTGAGAGGCCTTCCAGGTGCTCCATGAGACCTCCCCAGAAGCTTCCCCAAAGGGCCCCGAGCAAGAAAAACTATAGATTTTCATGCTTTTTTGCATGGCATTGGCCGTCCTCGCCTTGTCGGCTTTCCACACGCTCCACGACCGCTAAAGAGATTCCCCAGACGGCTCCAAGACGGCCGAAGAGG